CTGTCTCACCAGAGTGGTGCATGCTCTAGTTATCTCCTGCTTGGACTACTGCAATGCACTCTACGTGGGGCTACCTTTGAAGGTGACCCGGAAACTACAACTAATCCAGAATGCGGCAGCTAGACTGGTGACTGGGAGTGGCTGCCGGGACCACATAACACCAGTCCTGAAAGACCTACATTGGCTCCCAGGACGTTTCTGAGCACAATTCAAAGTGTTGGTGCTGACCTTTGTATTTAAATAGTTTGCTGGAAGCCGCCCAGAGTGGCTGGGCAAACCCAGCCAGATGGGTGGGGTATAATTATTATTAATATTATTATTATTATTATTATTATTATTATTATTGCTTTAGTTGAGATTCCTGCATTGCAGGGCTTGGACTAGACAATCCTCGAGATCCCTTCTAACTCTATAATTCTATATGTTTTGAAAATGTGAGCTGAATCAGCTGAATTGTGGGGAAATGGGGGCTACAGGCAGGAAGAGGGGAAATCACTGCCTTGCTAACTTGCTTGGCTTCCTTGTCTGAATGTAGAAGATTCTCGAAACTAGGTTCTGCCTGAGGACCGCAGGGTGTCTCTGTGTCGGTTGGGCTGTTGCTGCTTACTTGCTCCAAGCCTTAAGGGGACTGAGGGTCTTGGGCAACTTATTAGCTTTCTGTTTCCTTGCACAGCCTGGGCACAGCATCCAAGTCTTGTCACATGACTTCCCCGATTCCAGTGCATTTCACTTCGCATATCTCACAGAGTGGGAGCATATCTCACGGAGAGGGGGAGGAGGCCAGCTGGCTGCCCTTGCAGCCTCCTTAATTGAGTCACAGAGCTCAAGAGGCTTTACTCAGGAGTATGGCACGGTGGGAGGTTGAAGGTTGCCTTCTGTTGTTCATTAGAGCTTTATAATACTGTTTTTGAATCACAGCCACCAACTGGAATTGATCTCCCCGTCCTTCCTCACACACAAGAGCAGAATGGCAGACGTCTATCTTCGAAGGCCGGGAGATATCTCTCTTCCCAACTCCAGCTAAGGTGGTGGTCCATTAAAAGCTGAACACCATCACAGCAAACTACCGTATTTTTCGCTCTATAAGACGCACTTTTCCCCTCCTAAAAAGTAAGGGGAAATGTGTGTGTGTCTTATGGAGCGAATGCAGGCGGGAGGCTCTGCTCAGCGCTCCCTTTAAAGAGCCATGTGGAGTGTGTGTGCAGCTCTTGGGGGCTTTTCCCCGAGGAGGGGAAAAGCCCCCAAGAGCCGCACACATGCTCCGCGCACTCTTTAAACAGAGCGCGGCTCTTGGGGGAGCCTTCCTCCCGCTGCCCTGGAGAGGCTGCGCGTGGCTATCCCAGAAGCCAGGACAGCAAGAGGCTATCCCAGAAGCCAGATCCCTCTTGCTGTTCTGGCTTCTGGGATTCAGAATATATTTTTTTCCTTGTTTTCCTCCTCCAAAAACTAGGTGCGTCTTATGGTCTGGTGCATCTTATAGAGCAAAAAATACAGTATTTAGAAGACCCAAATCCACCCAGTATTATATCCTTTCCCTTGTTTGCAGAGATCCCTCCTGTCTCTCAGCCCCACGATATAAAAACAAGACAAATATTCAGCGGGAGTAAATTCTACACAACCACACAGTTCAGTCTCAAACTCTGCATGCAGAAGCAGACCACCTGATGTCAATGGCTGAAAGGTGCACAACATCAGTGACATTAGAGTGACAGCTCATATTCCCCCTCCCCTTAATACAGATTTAGCTTTTTCGGTGGAAATCTGGCAAGTAAAAATAAATGCCTGTATTGTAATAACCTGTCTGCAATATCTCGGCAACCTATGTGCAAATTAAGCCCCCTCAGGTGGCATCCTGAATATTGGAAAGTTTAGTAGAGCAGTATGCAGCTAAGCAAGAATCTCTGCCTATATTTTGGAGGGGAGAAACATACGCAGGTTACTGCAAACTTCTCTAAATGCCAGGCAAAGTAGTTTGGCTCGGCATTTGAGATGGGGATTATGCTAATTTTAAGAACTGGACAATGCATCTCTCTCTCATCTCAGTCTAGAATGCCAAGACAAGACTGCAAGTATGGTTCAGTACATTTAAGCCTTAACAGTTAAGAAGAGCTTATTGGAATAGTGCTGCAAGTGGCCACAGAACAAATCCTGGACATGAATGCAATAAATCAGCAGTGAAGGCAAAGCACAAAGCCCAGCTGCTTTCACTCAACGTTCATCTTGTTGCTGGAAATCAAAGCTCAGAAATCACCGTCAGTGATTGTGAGTGTTCCACAGACCCATGCAAGTTTCATTAACATTAAAGAAGTCAACAAAACTTGGCCTATGAGACAGGTTTACCCAAAACAAGTCCTTGCCCTATTCAGACTTTACAGACACGTTTTCCTTTTGCTCTCTTCCCAAAAACAGCCTCGGTCCTGTATACCTGAAGGAGAGTCTCCATCCCCATCATTCAGCCCGGACACTGAGATCCAGTTCTGAGGGCCTTCTGGCAGTTCCCTCCCTGTGCGAAGTGAAGTTACAGGGAACCAGGCATAGGCCCTTTTCAGTAGTGGTGCCCGCCCTGTGTAATGCCCTCTCATTAGATGTCAAGAAGATGAGTAACTATATAACCTTTAGAAGACACCTGAAGGCAGCCCTGTATAGGGAAGCTTTTTAATATGTAATGTTTTATTGTGTTTTTATATATGTTGGAAAGGGACGCGGGTGGCTCTGTGGGTTAAACCACAGAGCCTAGGACTTGCCGATCAGAAGGTTGGCGGTTCGAATCCCCGTGACAGGGTGAGCTCCCGTTGCTCGGTCCCTGCTCCTGCCAACCTAGCAGTTCAAAAGCACATCAAAGTGCAAGTAGATAAATAGGTACTGCTCCGGCGGGAAGGTAAATGGCGTTTCTGTGCGCTGCTCTGGTTCTCCAGAAGTGGCTTGGTCATGCTGGCCACGTGACCAGGAAGTTGTGCGCCAGCTCCCTCGGCCAGTAAAGCAAGATGAGCGCCGCAACCCCAGAGTCGGCCACAACTGGACCTAATTTACCTTTATATATGTTGGAAGCTGCCCAGAATGGCTGGAACAACCCATTCAGAGGGGCAGGGTACAAATAATAAAAATTATGATGATGCACAGAAACTTGTGAACATCCATCTAAAATTACAGTATAGCTTTCATGGGACATGGAAGAACCTAAACTTCACTACATAGAAGCTGGGTTTTCAGAAAGAAAGTGTCAGGGATGGGGAGAGCTGTTGTCACAGCTCTGTCTGAGTTCTGTTACCAAGCAAGCAGGGGCTAGGAGTCTCTGAGGAACTCTTGCCATAGCTGTTAAGTGTCCCTTATTTGGCGGGACAGACCCTTATCCCAGCGCCGTTTCCCGCTGCTGTCCCTTATTGATTATGTCCCTTAAATTTCCCAGGTTTCAAAGAAAGCAGCTCCTCTCCCTCCCTCCCTGCTGGCCAGGGAGGAGGGAGGCTCCAACTGTGTTGCTTGGCTGCGTTGCTCACCCAATAAGAAGTCTAAGAACGACTGGGGGGTGGAGCTTGCATGCCTTGTGCCGATCAAATCGGCTGCGTTGCCTGGGGACTCGCCTTTGCTCAGCGCTTCCCAGCGGAGAGGTGACAGTGGTTTTCCTTGAGGCTTGAGGCTTCGTTTGGCTGCTGGCTGGGCTTTCTGCCTTTGGCTCGGAGGGGCTCAGAAGTTGAACATACCTGTGCTTGGAAAATCCCTTCTTTTGACTTCTGATCCCTTATTTTCGAGGCTGCTGGCCCCTTATTTTCAAATCTGTAAGTTGACAGCTATGACTCTTGCCTGAGAGCAGAATCCACATACGAAGTCTGACAGTCCAGAGGTCAGGGAATCCAGATGGTTACAGAGCCAAGGGTCCAGAGGGAGAGCAGGAAGCAGCAAGGTAGGGCCAGGAACTACAGGTATTGTTTCCAGCATCTGACTTCTGCTGAAAGCTCTGTTTAAGCAGGTCTGAAATAGCTGGCTCTCATCAGTGCCTTCTCCTCTGTGAAGGCTGATCAACTTCGGGTGGAGTCCCTCTGCCTTCACCCCTTCAGGCTACTGTTCATCAGGCAAAGCTGACTCCTGGAACATGACAGCTGCCACTCTCCAGATGTGGCTGGACTTCCAGCTCCCATTAGCCACCGTCAGCATTGCTGATAGGAATGATAGGAGTTGTAGCCCACAACATTTGGAAGACCACATTCCTGGTGGAGGCTGACAAAGTTCACAAACTCAGGACCCATTTGCACTTCCGTTTTCCGTCGATTGCTGTTTGTTCCGATTCAGTAGTAAAGAGCGGGTTTTCCTGGGGGAAGCTGCAGAGCAAATGCAAAACAACTTTCAACATGCCTTGAAAGTGAGGGAGAAGCTGAAAACTGCTTGGACCCATGCTTTCTAAGCACAGGACAAGTGTGGACAGGCCTTTAGGCCTTGGGAGAAAGAGCACAATGCATGTTAAGAGTTCAGGTACACAAAATAAAGGAAAGGAAAAGGTCTGAAGGATACTTGGTAACTCTCCAAGAAGGCTTAGAGAACCCTACTCACAGATGAAAACCTCTATGATATTGTGATGCTTACACCAAGCACATAAGCCACTGACAAACTCAAATACCAAATATTTTTCGCTCTATAGGACGCACCAGACCATAGGATGCACCTTGTTTTAGAGGGAGAGAATTCTCCCCCTCTCTGCGCAGCACCCCTTCAGCGAAGCGGCAGGAGAAATGGAGCCCCTTCCATTTCTCCTGCTGCTTCGCTGAAGGGGCACTGCGCAGAGAGGGGGAGAATTTTTTTTCTTGTTCTCCCCCTCTAAAACAAGGTGCGTTCAGTGCGTTCAAGGTTCCCGCTGTGCTCCGGAGGCTTCAGGTTCCTTTCGACCTGCTCTTTGGGGCTGGCGGGAGGAAGCCTCAAAGACCAGCCTTCCCGCTGCCCCCCGAGCTTGTGGGGCTGGCAGTGGGGGGAAGAGCTGCTTTCCCCCACCGCCAGCGTCAAAGATCCCTGGAGCCTTCGGAGCACAGCGCGAGTTCCTGCTGCGCTCCGCAGACTTCGGGTTCCTTTTGCTGAAGCCAAGAGAGTCTTGCTCTCCCAGCTTCAGCAAAAGGAACCTGAAGCCTGCGGAGCACAGCGGGAACTTGCGCTGCACTCTGAAGGCTTCAGGCGGCTATCCCTGAAGGCAGGAGAGCGAGAGGGGTCGGTGCGCTCCCTCTGCGCTTCGGAGGCTTCGCGTTGCTATCGCTGAAGCCAAGGAGCCTGCATTCACTCCACAGGACGCATACACATTTCCCCTTAATTTTTGGAGGAGAAAAAGTGTGTCCTATAGAGCGAAAAATACGGTAGGTTGAAAAGCATAGAAGGTTCTTGTTGGCTGATGCACAGAGAGACAAGCATCTCCTGCTTTTTCCTTAGTCAGAATGGCTGCATTTTACAGTAAATGGGAACAAAGAGCTTTGGGTGAGATTAAGATGAGCAGATTTTTTTCTTCACAGGAAAGTCTTGTCATCCACATTTAGGGGAACATGAATATATTGCCACACTCTAGTGTTTGGCAGTTTCTTAATCTGTTTGAAAGAATAGGAAGAAAATCTCCCTTCCCGCATTCTTCTCATCCGGGGAGAGAGTCGCTTTCTGTTACTGCTGCCAGTTTGTGATCACAACTGGACAAAAGTAAACAGATCCACAGAATGAAATAATGTGGGGATTTTTTCAGACCTCCTGGGAACAAACTTGGTGCATCAGGAGAAAGTCCAAAGAACATTTCAGCAGCTCATGTCTCCTTTTTGTTGGGCATCTAGCTCTATTTAGAAACAACAAACAAACTTAGGCCCAGTACTACACTTTCTGGTCTGAAGTTAGCATATAGAAAACAGTGGTTTTTTCAAACTCACCAAAAAAAGGCTTAACGTAAAGAAGAAGAAAAATCTAATCAGATTTCATTTCGTCAGTCACTGATGCATCTCAATAACACAATGGAGATTTTCCTTTATGTTATCTCAAAGAGTGTTTGTGATCTTTAACATGGAGAAATCAGTGTCTCGGTCACTTGGCACTTGATTCCGCTTTTGGAATCAAAAGTGACAAAAGTCAACTATGTAACATCCCCAAATTAAGATGGCTCATTTTGCTACCATCCTCTCCTGCCCTTTCCCCCCTTTAGAAAACAAGAACAACACAGCCCACCACTGCAGGAAATAAGGAAAGGAAAGCCAGCACTTCATTAACACTAAATAGAGCAAGAAATACCCTCTAAAGGTGACCATCAGCTACATAGGAAATCCATCCAGGAAGCAGCTGCCATGTTCAGATTTCCTCTGGTCATTTACTGTTAAGCCCTGAGCTAAAGGAATATAAAGGGACACGGGTGGGGCTGTGGGTTAAACCACAGAGCCTAGGACTTGCCGATCAGAAGGTCAGCGGTTCGAATCCCCACGACGGGGTGAGCTCCCGTTCCTCAGTCCCAGCTCCTGCCAACCTAGCAGTTCAAAAGCACATCAAAGTGCAAGTAGATAAATAGGTACCACTCCGGCGGGAAGGTAAATGGCATTTCCATGTGCTGCTCTGGTTCGCCAGAAGCGGCTTAGTCATGCTGGCCACATGACCCGGAAGCTGTACGCCGGCTCCCTCGGCCAGTAAAGCGAGATGAGCGCCGCAACCCCAGAGTCGGTCACGACTGGACCTAATGGTCAGGGGTCCCTTTACCTTTACCTTTAAAGGAATATAAGGAATCAGGCAATGCCTAGGCAGCAAAGAGTCTGTGTATATGGTTCCTTTCCATGTGATCTCTTGCTTCTTCCTAGATGAGCTTCTCTAGTCTTAGGTGCATACCTAATGCACACCTAAAGTCAAGCATCCTTGGAGACGTCTGTTCAGATAGCAGATGGATCTTGATGGGCAAAACACTGTCCAATGCCTAAGCTAGGTCCTTTTCCTTGGCTGGCAAATGTCAAGGGAGTCTTCGGTGCCACCACAAAATCCTACCAAGAGCAGACACTCAACAGAAAACCCAAGCATGGAAAATGGAAAGGAAATGTGATGTTCTTGTCCCATCTAGGCAACACACTTGTAGTAATAATAATAACAATAATAATTTATTATTTATACCCCACCCATCTGGCTGGGTTTCCCCAGCCACTCTGGGCAGCTCGATAAAACATCGAACAAGAAAATCATGATAAAACATCAAACATTAAAACTTCCCTGAACAGGGCTGCCTTCAGATGTTTTCTAAAAGTCAGATAGTTGTTTATTTCTTTGACATCTGATGGGAGGGCGTTCCACAGGGCGGGTGCCACTACCGAGAAGGCCCTCTGCCTGGTTCCCTGTAACTTGGCATCTCGCAGTGAGGGAACTGCCAGAAGGACCTCGGCGCTGGACCTCTGGGCTGAACTATGGGAATGGAGATGCTCCTTCAGGTATACTGGGCTGAGGCCATATTGTAGGTGTACAAAACAGCAGGGTGCCATCCGTTCCTGAAACCCTGAGAACTGGAAGGATGTTAATTCCCAGCCCTTTTCATCCATGCTTGTCCATCTTCCTGAGACTCCCCACCCTGGTCGCCATGGCATGTTTTTATAATGGAGCAAATGATTCTTATATTTAAATAATGACTCTCTGAAATTTGCATGGAATTAACTTTAAACTGGTTGTCTGATACGGAGGTAATCCCCCCAGGAGGCAGGGATGGCAAACCAACCTGGTTGGCTTTAAAAGATGGTGATTGTTAGGTTGTGGGTGAACATATCAGACGACACAGCGATTCTTCAAACAGCTCTTGTTTATTCACAGGCCAGAACAGAACTGAACTGAAGGGTTCAGCCAGCCTGCTTATATAGAGCTCCACTAGAACACAACAGTAACCACTTTCTGTAACTATCCAATCACTGAACGTCACTTTCAATCCCTTATTTGCATATGTGGACCTGAGTGAAAACTATCCACAGTATCCCCCTGCTGGCCCAGGGTGAGAACTTCAGTACATAACAGTGATGCTCTACCTCCACTGTTAAAGGCAGCAAAGCTCCTGAATATCAGTTGCTGCAAACCAGGGATGGACAGCTCCCAAGAGACTGCGATCTACTCACAGAGTTAAAAACTGGCAGTGATCTACCCCCTTTTTTGGGGTTCAAAGTTGTTGAGTTTTTTCAGGGAGGAGGTAAAATGCTGAGTTTTTTTAGGGGAGCCCCAGTTGTTCAGCTTCTTTGTGGGGAACCAATGATCTACCAGTGATCTACTGCAGACGTCCAGTGATCTACTGGTAGATCACGATCTACCTGTTGGACATACCTGCTGTAAACCCTAAGGGGGGGAGAGGGCTCTTGTGTTCAAATCTCTTTTGCAGGTTTTCCACAAGCATTGAGCCATCGGTCTGACCTTGCAGGCTATTCTTATGTTCTAATTTATACTGATTCAGTGATTTGATGCTGGCTGTCACTTTTTAATGCTTTTATTGTATGCATTGAAATATCTTTTTTTTAAAACCACACCTAAAGAAACAATTTTATGAGGTGTCTCATAAATAGAATAATTAAATAATAAAAAACAGACCTAGCATGTAATATTCGCAGGCCTCTACATCATATACAGTGGTACCTCGGGTTAAGAACTTAATTCATTCTGGAGGTCTGTTCTTAACCTGAAACTGTTCTTAACCTGAAGCACCACTTTAGCTAATGGGGCCTTCCACTGCCGCCACAGCTCAGCACCCGGCACCACTCTAAATCTTAGCTCAGCACCACCCTAAATCTGGCTCTGAGAGGCTACTGGATCAGGCCAATGGTTCCAGCATCCTATTTCACGGTGGCTGAACAGTTGCCTGTAGGAAACCAGCAAGGAGGATTCAAGCACAAGTTCCGTTTAATATACTACTCTTCTTTCTTCCCGTGCTTAGATATCTATTTCACAACGATGGTTTTCGTTGTGGCCATTTTCATGTTCAAATATTTAAAAAATCAGCCTGTCTTGTGGTCTGTTGCTGCTCCGTAATCGCCCATCTAAAATTACGCTCATCAAGGGGAAAGGGAGCAAGGAATGGCTTTTTTGATGTTGTTGCCAAGCCCAGCCAAACTCCCAGGGTACAGGGCAATACAAAAAAAGACTATCTACAGGGGCTACTGTCGACTTACGTAGTCTTAGCGGGGAGCCTAGGCTTCTAGAGAGGCTTAATTGGTGGTTCCCCTCAGACTTCGGGAGAGGTCAGGATTTCAGATTGCGCCGTGATTTGAAGCAAACCTCCCAGTTCACATCTGATGGATAGTGCTGAAGTCAAAACTCAGACGTGCAGATTAGATCACATGTCTACAATCCTTCCCAGAACATAAGATGGCCTGGGGGCTTCCCTGGTGTTCTCTCTCTCTTTCTCTTTCCTACAAAACAAACATTTCCAGCTGCTTTGGGTGAGGAGCTCTGGGAAGAAGACTACATTATGATGAGCCACCACTTCCAGGGTTTTGTTTGTTTCTCAGATGGTTTCAGAAAGTGCTTTGCCCTTCTGGTTCACAGAACTGTAGAGTTGGAAGGGACCTCAAGAGTCATTTAATCCAAAACACACAGAGAAAGAAAGATAGATAGATAGAGAGAGATAGAGAGAGAGAGAGAGAGAGAGAGAGAGAGAGAGAGAGATCAGACATTCTGGTCTACTCAGCAGATCAATACTGTTTCATCCAACATGTGAGAGTTGATTCTGTTTGTTTTTGCTCATGGAAAGGGCAGGAGTTGGAAAGTTTCTTCGGAGAAACCTAAAGACTTGGGATCTAGACTTCTCTAGAATTTATCTTGCAGGTGCAATTAGGATTTTAAAACCCTCTCCTGCCACTAGATAGTCTGCATTTTCATTTCCAAACAGAGAATCTCCTCCATGCATGTAAAGATAAAAAGGTAAAGGATCCCTGGACGGTTAAGTCCAGTCAAAGGCGACTATGGGGTTGTGGTGTTCATTTCGCTTTCAGGCCGAGGGAGCCAGCGTTTATCCACAGACAGCTTTCCATGTCATGTGGCCAGCATGACTAAACCACTTCTGGCACAATGGGACGCCTTGATGGAAGCCAGAGCACATGGAAATGCCGTTTACCTTTCCGCTGCAGCGGTACCTATTTATCTACTTGCACTGGCATGCTAGGTTGACAGGAGCTGGGACAGAGCAACGGGAGCTCACCCTGTC